TATTAATGAAATTGCATCTTAGTGCATTTGACTATGTATTACATTTTTTTTACTGTTGAGGCGCATTTAGAATACTGAGGTTAAATCTGCAGCATTTCATAATGCAGTCCTTGGCACAGCTGCCATCAGAGGTGTTGTCCTTTGGATGAAAAGTTAAACAAGGTCCCATCTGTCTGTCCTGGGGCCATTAAATTGCCCCAGGACAGGGGGCACTGTCATATGACTTGCAAGACTTGGGGTACGATGCAAGATGGACTAATAATAATCCTTGCATTTGATATAGTATGTTTCATTTTGGGAGACATCTCAAAGTGCTTCACACAATATATTGCAAAGTGTAGTGATTGTGTATGTCATAGACGATCATCTTAAGAGTTGAGGAAACATACATTGGCAGGACTTAGAGGGATTTCATGCAAAAAATGCATTTTACGTTATGAGGTGTTTTTTCCAGCCAGGAACCTATTAGGGCATTTGCTTATTAGAGGAGCACTTTTCAATCCCATTGAAACACTGAAGATAGTTTACAGAATAGCAAAATGGATGATTACAGGATGGAGAGCTCTAAGCTATGAGGAGAAACTCTCAGAGCTGAATTTATTTTCATTAGAAAGATTAAAGGGGACACAATTCAAATACTCAATAGCATAGATCATTTAAGTGTAAGTACAGAAGTTGCTTGATATAATAATAATAATCTTTGTATTTGGTGTAGTACATTATCATGTCATCAAAATTTATCAAATCACTTCAAAGTAGAGTGTAGTAACTGTGCACTTTGTAGGTGATCTTGGCAGCTAATTTGCCCACAAAAATATCCCACTAATAGCCATGAAGTGATGACAAATTTTATCTGGGTGATTTTGGCCATGACACAAGGAGAAACACCCTTCTCTTTTTCAATCGTATCATCGAAACATCAACTTCAACAAGCAGACCAGATCTCAGTTTGAAATCTCATCTGAAGTATGGCACCTCCAATAAAACAGCACAACCCCAGCACTGGAGTGTCAGCCTAGTCTATGATGTTAAAGTCACAACGGGAGGTTTGAACCCACAAGCTTCATAGGTGAGAGTGGAGAGTGCTAAACTGACACGTAAAGATTTAAGACCATGAACAGAATTGGGGAACATTGTCTTAATATCAAAAAAGAAAGGGTACAGAGGGACTGGATATTAAAGAATATATTTCCTGACAGAGTAATGGATGCGTAGAAAAGGCACTCAACAATTGCAGCTGATGTTTCATTGAATAGCTCCTATTAAAAAGGAATGAGAATAAATATCTCCTCAAGAACATTAGCATTGGATATTGGGACACATGCAGACTGAGATGAATAAATTCTCTACAGAAACACTTATTTTGGTTCTGGTGATGTGGGGTGGGAAGGATGGAGGAGGTAGCGAGGCATGTAAATGTTTATATTGAGAAGGATAGCTGAGAGATGGAAATAGTTAAATATTTCTTTCTTTGTTAACTTTGGGGGTCAGGGAGTATCTATACCTTTTGCAGGGGCTGTGGTGAGGTGAGGTCCTGGTAGGTTGTGGGTTTTCTGCTGAAGGAGTGGCTTTGCTATGCCAAAGAACCTTTTCTCATTCCAAACATTCTTATGGTCTTAACTGTTGAACAGTCTCACGTGGTCCTTATTATCCTTATTATCCAATTTTGCCTAAATAAATCTTATCAAAGAAATCACTGTGCTACCACATTACTGAACCAACAGCTCAAACTTTTACCATGAGAGTGTTCAAATATTTCCAATAAGAACGCATGTATTAAACTGTTTTGTACAGTTATTCCTATTCTTGACTAATGGGTATACCAATTAATTATTCAATTTAAATAATTTGAATCAGAAAATCTACAGTAACTCCTGTAATGTTATATTTTAACTTCAGTGTGTTTAAAACATTGACAAGAGCAGCAATTTCATTTTTGATGTGCTAGTTCCTTTCCAACCTCAACTCTGTATCCCCTTCACTCTCCAGTGTGCCCAAGTCTGACGTTTCGATTTATTACACCAGCCACCTTTCTGGTCAGTCTGAGTGACATCAAAAGTTTTTGTATTATTTGTGCCCTAGACTCAGGTCACTAGAATCGCGCTGCCCAGACTAATATCATCATGAAAAACATAAGAGTTGGCTAAGAGAGGAGATCTGCATCCCATTGATCTCAGTGGATAAGAGCCATAACACTTCATAAGGTCACAAAAGAGATTCAGATAACTTTGGTTTATTTGGTCTTAATCCTCAGAATAACCTGGCTACTATCCTCCCATTACACACTGCTGTGCGCAACTGGCTGCCATGTTTCGCCCACAAAATATACTGTCACTGCACCTTAAACTATATCCTGTGAAGCGCTTTGAGACGTCTCAAAGGCGTAATAAGGTACTATATCAAATGCAAGGATTATTATTATTATTACAGCATCAAGCTGTTTCTTAAATGAGTCCAGCCTTAACCACTACACTGTCTGGTAACCAGTCATAATTGATAAATAACCTCTGGTAAAGAAATAATAAGGTAACAGACTGTACAAATTCTGAGTCACCAGGTTTCTTCTCATGATTTTGATAGTTTATATCCACCTTTCTATGTTCTCTTCCCTCATGTCATAGATGACTGAAAATGTAGCCAAGTAATCCAAAACTGGAGCTCAGCTAACATAACTAAAATGGGATCTGGGAAGTATGGAACGATGGGATGACTTCCCTCTCTCTCTTTGTAAAAGCACTTAACCTGTGACCACCACCTATCAGATAATCAGGCAGAATTCAGACATGAGTCATTATTAGTGTATTTGTACATGCTGACTAAGCAAATGTCTTAACACATGTTAGTGCATGCTAGTGCTTTTTTTTGTCAACTGGGCATATGTGGAAACCATCACTGTGTTTAAGACTGCACTTCATATATGCCCGACACCCACACGTGGAAATTTTGCTGTGTTTGGAATGGAATGTACACTCCCTCCTTGGAGGGAAACACCCTGCTCATCTAATTCCAGAAATATCAGGTGCAGTTTGACAAGAGCCGAGTGAGAAAGCCCCTATTGTTAGTTCCATTAACAGGTATTAGTACATTAACATGGGTTTTATAATGTTAGTGCATTAACATGCTCAAATCCACTTGTATTTATTTCCAAGCTGAATACAAAGTCTCAGATTTACAAGTAGCCTAATTTCTAATACAAGATGTACTGTCCTGGGATTTCAGTAATGTGTTCGAACTGGATTATGGGAGAAGTTGCAGAATGTTCATTTGGACAAGGCATAATTAAACAAAAGTAATATTGTTCGTTAAAATTGTTGCTTGGGGATAATTCACCGGCCCAGTGATCTTTTTTCCCCATAATTGATTTTAGTTATTGTTCATTTTATTTTCGAGGAGCAACTATTGAAATGGGGGATCAGATTGTGCCCAGTAAGCACAGTGACCTCACAGAAGATTAGTGTTCTGAGTAACAATGAAGTCAAAGGAATCACTCATGTTAAAGTGCCAAAATCAAAGATATACAACAGAAAATAGTAGATCATCCTGAATACTTGAATACGTTGATATTTAAATCAAATACATCCACATCACGCTAATAGCTTTGTTGACATGGGATGATAATAATAATTCTTGCATTTGATTTAACGCCTTATCACGTCATTCAGCTGTCTCAAAGCGCTTCACAGAATACACTGTAAAGTAAATTGACTGTATATTGATAATGATCCACTCAGAAATCGCCTTCAGAATAAACACAAACATGTTTATAAATTGGGGATTTAAGAACATCCAGGCTTAATGTTGTGACAATCTTGATTTAAAATCCCTAGCCAGGAAAATTTGGGTTCTCACCCTATCAGATAACAAAATAAAACTCAGAGAGCAAGAGTAACCCCAATTGTTTTGAGTGCAGACAATACAGTGATAGAAAAGATTGGGCTCAGATCACATTATCCATTTCCCAAATAAACCTGGTTTCTGATGTCCTTTGCACTCCTTCAACTTGCTTTACAGTGTACAAACAGTGCTTGATGCCCTTTATACCCAATTAAAATTTTATACATTTTGCAATGCATCGTATGCCCCAAAACATGCCAAACATGTTGCTTACTCATATACCTTAAACACACCACCCTGATAACACTTCTTCCTTGTTACTTAACCAATTTTGCAAACAGGTGCCGAATGACGTAATTTGCTACGGAATTTTGCCAACTCTTCACAAGTCCTGCCTGTCGATGAAACTTTTGTAACTTGTAAAGTTTCATTTAATTTAAGAAAAGTAGGAGATCTGCCTAAAACTTATATCATTATAGCTTCTGCTGCAGTGGATAAAGCATCAATGCAGTCCAAAGTTTCTGCTGACTGGTAATAAACTGTTTGGAGCAGGATATTCCTGGAGTCATGCCACCCTGAAAACTCCTTGAAACTGTGACATTTCATGCCCCTTTCCTTCTATACAAGATTTCAATGACTGAAAAATCTGAATTACAATAATAAAAATCGAATGGAGGAAGAGAAACAGAATGAAAACACAGGGAGATGTGGAGCATGAAAAGCTGATACTGACCTTGCAGCACATGTGAGATGCACAAATACATCTAACAATACTGAAATACCTGAACATTTTAACGTGATAGCTCTGAGGCATTCACCGATAGCATGTGGAAACTTTGGATTGGAGTTTCAAGTCAAAACCAACAACAACAATGTGCATTTATAGAGTGCCCTTCACGTAAGATGAACGTCTCAAAGTGTTTCAAATGTATATATAATCACTTTACCTAAAAGAAATGATGTATCTGGCAAACCTCCCCCAGGCAAAAAGCCAAGAACAGATTATATATATATATAATACATATTACATACATACACATAAAATATATAAAATGACAAACAACCATGCAGTGAATTACAGTAACGTCTATTCCCTTTAAGAACATGAAACCTGACAACACTTACATAAAAAGCATCAGATCAATGCAGATAAACCTCTTCCTTACCTTAGCGACCGAGCTCAGGTAATAGCAGATGTATGCAGCACCGAATCCTAAAACAAGAGACAAACCCACCCCTGAACCTGACAGGTTGATTCTGACCTGATTTTCTAAATAGAGTGAGAGATCTCTGGTTAGTGTGTTCACATTCCCCATCAAATCAATCATAGCTGCACAGCTAGTGTGAAATAAGGACTGTCAGTGTCTTGCAGCAGAAAGCCGGAAGGGAGGCTGTAACATGAGATGCTTGTGTCCTTCAGTCCAACCCTCAAATACTAGCACAATTCTCACCAGCCTCTATTTATAGCCTTAGGGCTATACTCAGGCCTTTAAATGCCATCTACTGGAGTAGGAACAGTACTAACTTGAACTTTTCTACCTCTTTCTAACTATGCTTGAATTGACGTGGCTTGATTTGTTTCTAGGCTGAATGACACATCCTAAAATCTATTGGCTGCATTATCAAAAACGGACGACAAAGAAGACATAAAAGAAAACAGTTCTGCTCTTCTCTTCGACGTGACTTTCGTTCCCCCCTATTACCCTGCTCCCCCTCCTTACTATCTGTTTCCCTTTCAACTAACACATTCTCTCCTTTGTCTTTTTTTTGTATTCGTTGTCGTCCTTGTCCTGCCTCCCCCCTTCAACTTGTCCTTAAAAACCTCTCCCTCCCAACATGCCCCAGTTCTGACAAAGGGTCGTGGACCCAAAACGTTGACTCACTCTCCTTTCTCCATAGATGCTGCCTGACCTGCTGAGATTTCCCAGCTCTCTCTGTTTTTGTTACTGAAATTATAGCGTCAGTTTAGAATACAGTAATTTAGACAAATTCAGATTACTGGGTTTAGAAGTATACCTCTTTAAAAGGGGTTAAATCATGAGGACAGATTGCAAAAACTTGGTCTCTATTCCCTTGAGTTTAGAAGGTTAAGGGGTTATCTGATAGAAGTGTTTAAAATAATAAAGCGATTTGATAGGGTAGATACAGAGAAACTATTTCCAGAATAAGGGGGCATAATCTTAAAATTAGAGCTCGACCATTTAGCAGTGAAATCAGGAAGCATTTTTCACCCAAAGGATAGTGGAAATCTGGAACTCTCTCCCCAAAAGGCTGTGGATCCTGGATCCCATTAAAATTTTCAAGATTGAGGTGGACAGATTTTTATTAGGTAAAGGTACCTAGTGATATGGGGCAAAGGCGGGTAATCAGTCATGATCCAATAGAATGGTCCCACAGGCTCGAGTGACTGAATGGCCTATTTCTGTTCCTATATTCCTATTCATAAGAACACATTTTAATGGAATATGTTACTGTGTGTAAAGAAGAAGATGGTGTGGTAATCGTTGTGGACCGAGGTGTGGACTTTGCAGGGGACAGAAACAGCACTGACTGTAGTTCAATGTAAAGAATACAAGCATGACTGACCATAACACAGAAAGAAACAGCACTGATGGATTATACAGCGTAAAGAATAGAAACAGTACTGACCATAACACCGTGGTAAGAAACAGCACTGTTCATAAACAGATAGAAACAGCACTGATCATCACCTGGAGGAAATAGAAACAGTACTGATCGTAATACAGTAGATAAATAATGGCACTGAGTACAAGTGCAAATACTGTTAAATTTTGTAACTTTTTTTACTGTGGGCCTCTGCGTACTTGAAATTTAGCTGAGTCTGCACATATTCAGCTCACGTAGGAGCACTGCAGTCAGCAAAAGAAGAGACTTCAACCAACCAGTAAGGCCAAAATTTTATTTAACCCATATCCCAGGTATGAAAAGCCAACATCCTAATTCACTTCACCAACCAGACCTCTGATCAATTTTGCCGTCATTTCCTTCTTCCTATAAATTTTTCTGATAGCAAAATCTTCAATTTCTCAATTGCCAAATGAAACCCAAAATTGCATATCTTCTCTCCTTGCTGGGACATTTAACTAAAATATACATGAACAAAATAGCTACATTGGTCATTTAATGTATCATTCTGTCTGGTTTATTGAAGCATTGACTTTTCATAGTTAAACAGATCAATATGCAGTAGAGTATTAATATTATTCCTTGCTACTGCTTAGCTATTTCTTGTTAGAAATAATACAAAATCTCAACTCTGATTTATCAATCACCAAAGATCTCCATTTTATTACTAAACAATGAGACTCTTTAAATAGTGTCATTAGATTTATATGGTCAGGTACAGTACACACCTGCAGATGCTGAACAGATATCGCACAAAAAACATCAAAGCTAATAAATCTCTTTCCTACCTTTGTGACTGAGCTCAAGTAATAGCAGATGTACGCAGTGCCCAATCCTAAAACAAGAGACAAACCCAAACCTGCCAGATCGATTCTGACCTGATTTGCTAAACAGAATGAGAAATCTCTGGTCAGTGTGTTCATAATCTCCATCAGATCAATCATTGCTGCACAGTCAGTGTGAAATAAGGGCCAGTTGCCAATGTCTTGCAGCAGAAAGCCAAAAGGCCGGCTGTAACACAGAGGCCTCATTCATACAGATAAACACCACCTAGTGGGGAAGACTATAATAATGCTAATGATGACTTCTTTCAATTCAGTTTGCTAAGACCCCTCGCATGAGGACCTGGATTAAGCAGCTGTTGCTGAGTAAACTGGTAAACTGGTATGCGGCATTGAACTTGGACCTCAAGAACATCAAGGTAGCTGGCACGTCACCAGTTATCCTGTAAAGGTCATCCTACCACGCTGATCGCAGATGTTTGCCAGATAGCTGATGAGGAAACTCAAAGGTTTCGGGCGACAGCTGCTGGAAGATACTACTTGGAGTCCAATTTCATGAAAAAACATTTGTACATCCAGCTGCCGCTTAAACTCCTCATCTCCAACTAATCAAACCATCGCTCAATGGGAAGGGATGTGTGCCTGAGTTGCGGAAAAGAAGACGGTGGTATTGCTCTCATGCATTTTATGCTGAACTATGTTGTTCACCGGGAAGCTTGCAGTGAGATCCTGGTACCTACCATCCACCTAGTAAGGGCTCAAACCTGTACTTGTCAGATGTTGACAATCAACTAGTGACTATCCTCTTTGGGGGGAGATAAGTGGGGTCTCCTTGGAGCTGAACTGGCTCCAAGGTAAAATGTTTGGCAACAGAATTTCGGAATCGAGCCAGCCCTCTGTGGCAGATTTGGCGGTCTGGTTCCTGAGCCAGGCAGGTCTGCAGTATTCCAGGGAACTGCTGAGGACAGCACAGCCAGCCTAGCTCATTGGTAGGACCTGGAAGGGCAGACCAGTCTCTGGGGGCAGGGAGTCATCCGACTCAGCTTCCTGTTAACCCTGCAAGCCAAAACCCTAACGGGTAGGGTGGTCCTAGCTGGACAAGCAGCGGGAAAGTTTGTCAGACAATGATATCAATGGCACATTATGCTGTTTTACCTCATTAGACTCCAGCAGTAGCCCAACGCACACTTTTGGGTCCCCAAGCCTTGGAACTTGCCAATCTGTGCCAAATATTTTCCAGAAATAGGTAAAACTGTCAGAGAGAGTGCACATTCCATTCCAACAATTTATTTTTGGGATTTCCATGTGTAGGTGAGATTATTGAAATTCTCAGGTTGGTTTGGATACTCTTAACCATGGTGATACATCTCTGCATGTGTCAGACACCCGGCTGACTAAAAAATAATTAAAACTGGGCATGAGACCTAAAACCTTTATAGGTTACATGAAAGAAAATTTAGTTTTGAGTGTTTTTTTATCTACTACATGCAAGTTCCAATCTGTTTTTTGTTTATGATCAATGTTTCTGTGCAAAATTAAATTGATCATTGGGGAAGCGCTTTGAGGTGCTAATGCTATATCAAATGTAAGAATTATTATATTATTTATTTTATTGCACATCTGTCCTTACAAACTGGGTAACCTGCAATGACATTCAAGTGATTTTGCCAGGCTGCCAAATCCTGTAATATGGAAGAATTTAAATAAGTACACATTATTAGAAATGTTAAACCAGATTCATCAAACATTTACACTCATTTTCTTTTTTTAAGATGCACTGTTTTCAACAACAGAGGAATTTCTGGGGAGAGACTGTTGTTAAGATTCCATAGATAAGGCATGGGAAAGAGCAGGAATTGGAATAGTTTAGCATGGCATAGGCACGATGGGCCAAATGGCCTCTTTCTATGCTCCAATTTGCATGATTTTATGTATCCAGTGCACCCAATAATTGTGAAAGCTTGTCTTTATTATTATTACCTCTATGTGGGTCTCTCTTTTCTTTTTCACAGTGTTCTCCCCTCCGCTCCTGAAAGTGTTAACTCACACAACGCATGGCTCCATGGGTGCTGCCAGCTGTCATATTAGACAGTGAGATCTCACAGCCTCACTTAATGACCATAAACATACACTTTAGATCAGGATCACTGAGCAGTAGTTAACAGTTGAAAATCTGGTTAGATACAATTCAAATATTACTTGTTCTTCCACATGGAAAGAATTGAGTCAAACTCTAAGGCAAATTCTAAGTATTCTAGAAAGACAATAGTGTTTATTCTCTGAATAATAATCCTTACATTTACATAGCGCCTTATCATGTTGTTGAGATGTCTCAGACCACTTCACAGAATATACTGTAAGGTGGAGTGATTGTATATTTTGTGGGCAAAACAAGGCAGCCAATTGTGCACAGCAATTGAATATCAAAGAAAGTCCCTCCTGCCCCCCAACATCACCCACTGGATAAGCTTTTAGACACTTGGCCTCTGCTTTCTGGAACTCTCTTCCGAAATCCCTCCACCTTTCTTTCTCTTCTTTCTTTTGTTCTCTGCTTCCAAAAGCCACGTGAAAATCTCTTTGACTGTTCTTTTGGCCATCCCCTTCCAGCTTGGGCTCCAACTCAGGCTTTGTGAAATGCTTTGAGATGTTTTCCCTACTTGAATGATGCTGCATAAGTAAAAATTGTTGCTGTTGTCAGAGTATTTACAGACATAGGTGGGTGACACATTCCTATACTCTGTCAGTTCATAAATTTAGGGACCTTGAGGATGGGAGCATTAAACGAGAGTCTAGTTGACAAGGTCACCATGTAGCTGTGTGCAACGCTACTCATACCTGGTTACTGGACAAAGCCCCATTACTACAGAATGGTTTAGTGCAGTTAGCTTAAACCAAGATGTAGCTTTTCAGGAGAATTTTAAAGGCAGTAAAAAGGGACAAATTACAACAACAACAACTTTCACTTATATAGTGCCCTCTCTGCAGGGTTGCGTCTCAGAGCGCTTAACAGTGGCGGAGCCTGA